CTTTTGTTTGATATTTTATTGTTTTAGTTTGTTTCCTAATTAGCCAACCAGAATCCATCTCACTGTTTCTAGCTAAAGATTGCAAGTTCAAATCTAAACAATAGTATCAGTAACATGTTTACTTGCAGATTCTTTGTTAGATCTGAAGTCCATCCCCACAGGCGGATGGAGGATGGACCATGGACCCTGCCTGTCTTTACATTTCCATCTGTCCTTTGGGGAATGCAGAGCCCAGGGAGATCACAAGTTAGTTGACTTACAAATCAAAATGAGTATCCTCTAGATTTCGTTCATTCACAGAATTTTATTTTATAGACAAAATAAGCATTACCTTCATCTTTAATAGGGCAAGGAATTGTGTAGGAGAGAATGGAAACAGTCAAATTAGTTTCCTCTTGAAGTGGAAAGAGTGGATTTTGAGTTCATGGTACCTTTGAAGAATCTCTTGTCTATCTGCTGTGAGATGTGACATCTGCTGGGTGCCTTTCTTAATTGCTATTAGCAAAACACCACATCATGCTGTACCCATTCCCCACACACTAGGGTTAACTATTGTCACCACAGTTTACTAAGTTGTGTTTGGAGACTGGGGTGAAATTAATAAAGATCTCCTAAATTGCTTTCTGTGGTGATAGAATCTATTCTACATTATGTACTTCTGTTTCCCAGTGGAAGTAGTGTTTTCTCTAACTAGCTATTGACTATTGTATTCTGGGCTGGGGGAGGACGGGCGAGGCTCTTATGTCCATCTGCAAGGTTGTATGGGAAGGGGCAGTCTGTGTTGCCGAGGAATCTCATTTTTGTGCAATACTATTCTGAAAACATACATGCTCTATGGAAGTGACAGGGGTCCGGACACACACTCATCATAAACACACCTGTAACCACCTCCTTGAAAGCAGCATAACCAAAACGGCCACCCTGAGAAGCCTGGAATCAATGGAAACTGCGCATGAGCACTCTCAAAAGAGGAGGCTGCCGATAGAGCCATCAACCTAATTTTACATGCAATATTTACAAGCTTGGTGGTATGGAACAACAGGTAAATAAATTGGTTCTGCTGAACCACAATGCAGAACTATAAAATTAGCACAACGCAGGCTGGGTGAACTTTGCCCTCCAGGAATCCATATCTGCCCTTCGAAGCCTGGAGTGTGATCTGGTGTCTGAGCGCTGGAAGCTGTGCTGGGGTTGCTGCCAGCCCACGGATGGACGGACCGGGAAGAGCTCAACAAACCTGTACCCTCCCAGGGGTTTCCCTTCATACCAGTTTCCTGCTGAAAACTAAAATAGAATGCAAAACTCAACTAAACTAAGCTTTCTGGAGATGGTTCAAATCATTTAGTCCACGGGGAGGGGGGGACAGGAACTAAAAGATTGGAAGGATAAAGCAATAAGCTGAAATGATCTGAAACAAGTTTAGAGACTTGAGATGTGAAGAAATAAAACTCAACAGGATAAAATAAACCATCCCACCTGCTTAGAAGTTGAAATCCCCTGAACAGTGAGGGAACGAGGCGGCTAGAGTACATCAAGCTGGAAGTGCTGTCTTGTCTGCAGAACTTCTGAATGTTTTTTCCCATTGCTTGGGGTTCTTCATAGCCTTCCCCGAAGGCCTGTGATTCATCCCTCTCAGTCTTTTAGGCTTAAGTTACTGTGGGGAGGCATCCCAGGGGGTACCTATATCCCAGTCTCTGTCCCCTTACTGGGGGGGCCAGGCCTCCCTTCATGGATGCAGTGACTCTAGCTCCTATTTAAAATTGAAGTTAGAGGGTCCGTCGATCTACCTGTTCTGCTCCCCACTCTTGTCTCTGCTGAATGCTCTCACCACCCCTGCTTCTCTGGCCTGTACCCCAGTTCTGTATGCATAAATAAATGAATACAATTTAAGTTAAATAAAGTTTAAAGTTAGAAATAATGCCTCAGGAAAATTATACTGACATTTTTACTGTGCTTTGTGGCTCCCCAAAATGGATCACTTAAGTTTCAGAATCATTTTATTCTTTAAAAAGGAAACTGCAAGACCATTGATTAACCATCTAGGAGTTTGTTCTAAGCCCGGTGTGTTCCTGAAAGCAATAACGTCAAGTGTCTGAAAATCAAGTGACGTATAAAGAGGGGAGAACCAAGGCTGATTCAGATCCAATAGTGGCTCTGTTGGTGGGGATGTCAGGGACTTGCTGTCACGTCCTAGAACTGAAATTAAGGGTTGTGGGGAGGGAACTTCCCTTTGGTGGGGGGGAAGAGTAGGAGGGCTGACTTTGTAACCTGTGCTTTGGGGCTGATCTAAGTGGGGTGACTTAATGTTTAACAGAACAGAATAGTCTTCTGGAATCCCTCAAGCCATCTTCAGACAAGGTGGGATTGCTTGGATACACAGTAAACAGTAGTTACTTTGAGTAAGCTCTGTGCCCTAGGGAAATCATCTGGCCTTTCCCTCTCAACTCTCAGGATAACAACTTCTCTCTAGCAGAGCGAGGGAAGGGGGCTTCTTGAATTGTGTAACCCTGCATTTTGAGTAAGTTTCTGAGGATAGAGGGTTAAGGACCATGCCATACCTTTGCCCAAATGAGAACCTATCTTTATCATTTAAAAGGCGAGCTCAGCAATACAGTAAATGACTTGGTCAGAGGACAATCAATGACTTTGATAGTGAAATGTTCCTTGGTCTTACACTTGCATGAATGATACCTGTAAAACTTAATTGACTTCTAGGTATTGTGTATAATTTATTTTTTAAATTGTACTGTCATTAACTGGTTCACAACATTGTGTATGGTGTTCACACATTCAGATGTGTAATCACATCACACCGACCACCAGGGCACAAAGAACCCTCCACCCTAGTCCATTAGGCCCTTTCCCCCTCCACCCCTCCCCCTTCTCATGTGGCCTCAGTTTTATCATCCTATTTCTAGCATTTGTTCTGATTAAGTTTTGTCCCTTTTTGTTGCTCTATATTCCACATACGAGTGAAATCCAGTATATGTCTTTCTCTGTCTCACTTAGCATAACCCCACCCCCTCGCAGGCCCATCCATGTTAGAGATAACAGGATTTCTTTTTGTGTAGCTGGGGAGCCCACGGTGTGTACACGCTGAAATGTGATTTTAGCTTGGAATATAATTTAAGCCTAAATAGTGGCTATAATTTAAACTTTGAATTAATGTGTTTTATGTAGCATGTTTGTACTTCTTAGTCATGATTTGTGGCTTTTTTGATGATACCTCTTTTCCCTTTTTATTTTTTTCTTTCAGTCCTCCTTAAATACAAACCGGTTGGTTTTCTTTTTTAAAAATATAATGGTCTAATACTGCATAGATGTACGCTTTCCTTTAAATCAATTTCTAATCCTTCTATTTTGGTGTGTAAGTCTCATCAATGTTTGGCAACTCTAAAATTTCATCAGCACTATGATAATTCAGCAGTTCTGCATATGGAAGGAAATTAAGCAGTGTTTTTAAATTGTCAGTAATAATTACTTTTAGTTTGACCCTTCATCTCACTTACCTCTTACAACTATTTTATGAGCTAGGTACTGTCAGCCACGTCCTTTGAGGTATCTAGTTGTCTATCCTTGAGCAAGTTTACTTTACTGTGAAGTCAGTTTGGAGACACAGGCAGTCCGTCTCCAGCCCAGGCTCTTAAACCAACATGCTGGAGGTAACCTAAAAATAAGCACAGGAGTTGTCCATAGGGATAGGGTATCTGAGTGGGAATTTGCCACTTGGTATGAATAATTGGCTACATTTAGGTTGCTGTGGAGAGGATCGCCTTCATTCTCTTCTACAATCCTTCCCGATCCACTCAGACCACATGTACTTTTCTTTTGCAAGTTTCCTGTTTGCAGCCTGCCCCATGACTGCTGACCTTTCTAAGAATTTCGGCTCCAGTCTTACAGAAATCTTGTCTTGAGTCTGTGGTTCTCAACCTCGGCAGCACTGGGAGTGCTTTAGGGGGAGGTTTAAAAAAAAAAAAAAGAATCACTCTGCTATCTCAGTCTCAACCCTAGAGATTCTGATTTAATTAATCAGAATTTTTAACCAGATTTATTTATGCAGACAGAACTGGGGTACAGGCCAGAGGTACAGGGGCAGTGAGAGAATTCACCAGAGTCAGAGTGGGGAGCAGAACAGGCAGATCAACGAAGTACATTGCTGAGGGGAGCAGCAGGCGGGTCAGGAGAGGTCTGCTGCACCATGTGGTCACCTCCCTGGATGGGGATGGAACTCGCACTGAAGCAGGTGCAGCTGACTTGCCGTGGGAAGCTTTAAGCCATTGCACCACCAGGAAGGGCCCTGATCAGAATTTTTTTTTAACTCCCCAGGTGATTGATGTTCCTGTGCAATCAGGATAGAGAACAACTGCCACAGGCTATTATCCAGGCTTGTGGCCTCCACCTCCCTCTTGTTTTCACTTCTCTATCTAGCCCAGAATACACAATTCATCACTTTATCACCTTACCCTTTGCCTTCCCTCAGATTAGTCAGCCCTGTTATCCTGAATCCATCTCATAATTTATAGCTTCTTAGCTTTCAAAGTCCAGCAGTGAGCCACTCACACCGTCATGTGGATTAAATCTACTACCCATTCATGCACTCGGATCTCAGCTCAGGCTACAGTGGTGTCTGGCGGGACTTTGTTCCCACATTATCCAGTCCTGGCACGACTTCTCTTAAACTGCACCATTCTGCCTCATTTTGGGTCAGATTACTTTCACTCCTACCTTTCTGTTTTGCAACCAGGGCAGGTAGGTTCATCGTTGGTTCATGCAGCTTAAAAGAGAATCTTGGAGCCCTGGGCATCAACCCCAAAGGTGAGGGGAAACCAGCCAGCAGGGAGGCAGCAGCTCAGGCCCTTCTGTGAATCTCCACCTCCTGTTTCCTCTTGAAGTCTCTCCGATGCTCTGCACCACACTGTCCTCTGTGACGCTGTCTTTATATAGGCTGTCTCTCGGCTCAGGTGTGCCCATTCATGTATATCCTCGCCATACTCCAGGTGATGGCGAGTTCCATCCCCATCCAGGGAATCCAGGTGTCTACCATCAGGCATGCGCACCTCAAACCCACGCTCCTGAGCACCTCCTGCATTAGTACTGTCAAGACCACAGGTGATAGCCAGAGTCCAGTGCTGCAAAAGCCGGAGCGTGCTTCCTATACCCTCCACTCACACTGTAGGTTCTGTTAGGCCATTAATTCTCTTTAATTTTCTCTCTTTACCCTCTGACTCTTTCCTGTGGCCATGCATGTGCAAGTAAGTTTCAAAAATTAAAGCGAAAAACCTTTTTCTGGTCACTCTTTGGCCCTTCCACTGTCCGACTGTGGGAGAAACTAGTGTTTTTCACTGTTGTAACATTCCTTTACTTCCTAACCTCTTTTTATCTCTCTACCTCTGAGGTCCAAAGTATGTGCACATTCTCGTGGTGTTGCAGCTCTTGTTTTGCCATCTCAGCAGCATTCAGTGCTGTTCTTCTTGAATCTTTCGAAGGGGAAATAGCCTTGCCCAAGAAACTTATGTGATTATTTTCTGCCTGGCTGTCTTCCTGCCTCGCGGGTCACATGTTACTGGTTCTGTGGTGTTATTTGTATTCTTTCAGGCCACCTGCTACTGGCATGTTTTTTATTTAGGAGCGTTTTTATGTGTTCCTAAACTCGAGATGAAACCTGTATTTTGATCTCTGGCTCAGCCTTATCTTCTGAACTCACTCTATCTTTGTGTATTTGCATTTTAGCTTTTTTAAAAATTGAGAGTGTTCATTATTGTTTTGCTGGACCCTGGAGAATTTTAGTCTAATGTTGTGTCTCCAGGTATCATTCAGTGTTATCCTCCATGAGAATAATTCAGGATTTTTTAAAAGATTGATTTATTTATGCATATAAAAGCTGGGGTATAGGCCAGAGGTCAGAGGATGAGAGGATTCACCAGAGACAGAATGGAGAACAGAACAGGCAGATTGGCTGAAATAGATTGCTGAAGGGAGCAGTGGGCAGCACAGAAGAGGTCTGCTGTGCCATGTGGGTCAGCCGCTTGGCTGGGGATTGCACTTGTGCTGCAGTGGCTTCGGATAGCTCTATAGTGCTGGGTCTTAACCTCTGTACCACCAGGGAGACCCCAGAATAGCTCAGGATTCTTATAAAAGCGCTGATTCCTAGGATCTCTGTAACTAATCCATTGTGTTGTGATCTGTACCAATGGGCATTTATTATTAAATGTTGAAAATACTCATCTTTGGGGTAAGAGATATGGATACTTGATGTGTTAAGTATAGCTGTAAAGGTAATGTATGTGCTCCAAATATTACTTACTGCTGTTGGCTATCTCTTGGTTGTGCCCAGATTTTGTGTGTGGCTCCTACACCCGAGTCCTGGAGTCAGTAACTTTCACTCATTCTTTCATTACCTACTTTACGCTGTCATTGTCAACTGGCCAAACATTGTGTTTCTGAACTCTTTTTCTACTTTTCGTTTCATTCACTTTCATCTACTACTGCTTTTAATTGTTCTCCAACCCTTTCCTTTTGAACAGCTATACTCTTTCACTTTCCTTTCATATTCCCAACATCGCCTTTATTCTCTTCTGTAAACACAAATGATCTCATTGCTTCCTTCAAGCCTCTTGTGGCTTATTTTTTATTTATTTATTTTTTTTAACCAAAGGATACACCAGAGGCCTTTGTGTAGTCAGTGAAGTCAGAGAAGAGTTCATAGTGGAGATGAGTCTTAAAACAGTGCTCCTCAAGCTTGCATGTGCCTATGAATCATCTGGAGAGTTTGTTAAAGTGCAGATTCCATTTCAGTAGTTTTGGGGGTTGGGGTTTGAGATTCTGAATTGCTAGCAAAATCCCTAGTGATGCCAACACTGCTGGTCCATGGACCACACTTGGACCATAAATCATCTCTTAGGAAAAGTTAAATGATTCCTTTTCTCCAGTATTAAAAACTGTCAAAATATGCCCTTGATATGGTTAGTTTCACACGGCATTTACAGAGGCTTGTACAGAGTTGTTCTATCCTGAAGGGGTGCACCTGTGAGAACCATTTCCCCTAGTCTAACTCAACAAGGAAATGCTGTAAAGATTCTTCACACAGAAAGCCTCAAACTAAGAAAGGATCATCTCTAGGTTCCAGAAATGAAGAGGGGATGCAAAGCAGTGATTTAGGCTTGTCTGCTGATTTTTAATCCCATGACAGGTCTCTTGACTAATTAATGATTCTTCACAGCTGTATTTAAAGAGCCAAGGGGGCTCTTTGTGTGGCTGGTAATTTTTATATTATATGCTAGACATTTTGAGTTTTGCTTTGTTGAGTGCTGGGTATTTTTATGTTTCTGGACTCAATTCAGGAAAGTCTACTGAATCTCCACCCAGGCACCCCTTTTTTGTTCCATGGCCTGAAAATTGTCTCAAATCAGTGAGCAGGTGGGGTAGTTGGAGGATGAGCCTTATTTATTTTCCACATCTCTGGACACTGCCTTTACCTGGCCCCTGGTATCTTTTAAAAAGACTTTGCTTCCTGTGTTTTATTTTTTAATTGCTTGATGAAAGAGTAGATATAATAACTCTTTCTTCATCTTGTCCAAAAGTTGAAATCTAAGGAGGCTGGAAAGGAGATGCCAGGGTTTTTGATAACATGAAGGACAGAGACAATGCTGCCGGCTATTGTAATAGCCCGAAACTGGAAACAACCCAAATATCCATCAACTGAAAGCAAACAAATAAAATGTAGTGTAGTAATACAAGGGATACTATGCTGTTATAAGAATCAATGAACTGTCATTTAATGTAATAGCAAGGATGAATTTTATAACCATGTGAAGTAAAAGAAGCCAGACAAAAAAAGAGTATCCTGCGGGATTCCATTTAGATGATAGTTTTTAATTGGCAAGATTAGTCTGTGATGTTAGAAGGCAGGACAATGGTTACCCTGGTGGGGATAACAGTAGTAGAAGGGACAGGCAAGAACTTAGTGGCTTCTGATCACAATACCATTTCATGATTTGGGTACTGATTACATGAGTTTTTACTTTGAGAAAATATATTGAGCTGCTGTACACTTACGTGACTATCAGGTGTATGTTCTGTATCAGTAAGAAATATCTCACCCATTACCCTGCCCCCGCTGCCCACAAAAGTCAAGGCTGCAGACCAGATGTATATGGAGGGTAAACTGGATGCACAGTATAGACTGAGAAGTGAGGTTCTGAGGTTCACAGAGGAAAGTGTGGTTACCCTCTGACACCCTGTGTCTTTTGGGTGTAGTGGGCTCAGGCTTGGTTTCTCTGTAATCGGCTGTCATCACACGTGCTTGTTTTGTTACAATTTAATAATGCTTAATGACCATATTGATACCAGCTCTGGATTTTAGGCCTCCTTATTCTGTCCTCCGTGTCTCACACTTATAATCTCCATGTCTTTGCCTCTTCCCTCTCTCTGCTGCCTTCTGGGTAATTTCTTCAAATCTAGATTCCAGTTTCACCATTCAGTTTTGTTTTTTTTTTAAGTCTTGTTTATTTATGCATACAGAACTGGGGTACAGGCCAGAGGTGCAGGGACGGTGAGTGGGGAACAGTACAGGTAGATTGACGAAGTACACTGCTGAAGGGAGCAGCAGGTGGGTCCGAAGGGGTCTGCTGCACCATGTGGGTCACCTCCAGGGCCACGGATCCAACGCACACCAAAGCAGCTGTGACTCACTTGCAGTGCTATGCTTCAACCCACTGTGCCACCAGGGAGGGCCCTCACCATTCAGTTTTAAACTGTGTGCACAATCTTTGGTGTCCAAATCACCCATCAAAATTTTCATCTCTTGTCATTTTATGGTTCTTTGCACATCGTCCTGGTCATGTGATGGTCTCTCATTCTCTCTCTCGGGCTTTAAGGTCAAGCAGCACAGGTAGCTTGTGGTTAGGTTTTCCCTTTTATTTCACTGACCCAGGACTGAATTCAAGTAGATAGCTTTCCCAATATTTTCTGGTTTTTGCCCCAGATTATTTGACTTTGCCTTCAGGGAACCCAGATGTTCCATGAGTCTCATTCCAGGCTAATTACCATCTGTAGGTCACCAGGAACCAACAGATGGCCCCAGGGTGACGTGAGCTCAGTCCTCACTCACACTTCTCATTTCGCTTTTAGTACACTTGTACTAAAAGGGAAGAGAGGAAATGATGTTATATAAAAATTTATATTTCTGTATGTGTATACCTGCCGTAAATTTTAGCTTGTAAATGCATTTAAAAATCCATTGAGGGATAGCAACAACAAATGTTGGCGAGGATGTGGAGAAAAAGGAATTCTCCTACACTGCTGGTGGGACTGCAAGCTGATAAAACTATATATATATAAAAGAAAATAATATATATATACTATATATATATAATAAAAAGAAAATGCTTTTAAAAATCCATTGAGGGGTAAGCAAGAAATGAATGATTCTTGGGGACTGGTGATAGGAACAAGGCAGATGGCATGCAGGAATGACAGGGAGACTGTGTGAACCTCTTACTATTTTTAGAGAGTTAAACTTTGTAGTCATATTACCAATTCAACCAACTAAATATGAAGTATCCCCCACTCCCCAGCAGTTTAGATATTCTGTACTGGGTGGGTCTAAACTGGCAAAGGATCAGTTCTTTAAAGCCTCCCCGTCTGTCATGGACTGATAGTTTGGTGAACGACAATAAAAATAGATTACTGATCACATGCTTGGATAGCATGGCACTGTCAGATTGCTTTAAACATTTCTTTCTAACTGCTTTTCTCTCAACTTCTGTTAATCACAGACAAGTGCAAAGAAAGCAAACTTGTGGCTAAGACTAGCACTGCTTCTAGGTGCTTCATCATTTCTGGTATTTGATGCTATGGGTCAAAAATTGATACCACACTATTCTTCAATTTTCTTGTTAAGTTACAACTTTTTTCTGTCATCTCTAACCTGTTTCTTTCTCAGAAGCTGCTCATACAACCTTATCCTGCAACATTAGATGTTTGCAGCAGTTAGGGGAGGGCGCCTTTAACAGTGTATTTCATCAAACCTAATAGGCATTGGCGCTGGTGTCTTCTGATCTTCCAGAGGGTCTCACTGGTTCATCTTCACGCTTCTACATCAGGCTGGCTGGCACCTGGCTGCCGGCAATTATAAAATGCCATTGATTTCAGACATCTTAAAAGTGTCCCAGCAGCTCTTAGAGATGGCCCCCCCGATTGATCTAGCCTCGGATTCCTGTTGAGTGCTTAGAGATTTTCTTTTGAGGGGAGAGGAGGCCTGTGGTGACTTCCTTTGGAAAATTCACCATTCTGCTGAGTAGCATCTCTCTTTTTTTTTTTAATATTTATTCATACAGAACTGGGGTACAGGCCAGGGATGCGGAGGGTGAGAAGGTTCATCAGGGACAGTATGGGGAGCAGAACAGGCAGATCTACGAAGTACACTGCTGAGGGGAGTAGTGGGCGGGTCAGGAGAGGTCTGCCACGCCATGTGGATCTCCTCCAGGCAGGCGGGGATCAAACTCATGCGGAAGTGGCTTAAGCTTCTTAGTACTGTGCTTTAACCCGCTGCGCCACCAGGGAGGGCCTTCTTTTCTTTTTTAAAGATTTATTTATTTATGCATACAGAACCTGGGTACAGGCCAGAGATGCAGGGGTGGTGAGAGGATTCACCAGAGACAGAGTGGGGAAGCAGAACAGGTAGATTGACTGAAATACACTGCTGAAGGGAGCAGTGGGTGGGTAAGGAGAGGTCTGCCGCGTCATGTGGGTCACCTCCGGGTCCAGGGATTGAACTTGTACTGCAGTGGCTGAGGTAGCTTTCATAGTGCTGTGCATTAGCCCATTGCGCCAACAGGGAAGGCCTGGTATCTCTTGTCTTGGCCCAGATGGACTCATACAGGGTCACCCTCTTTCCTCATTGCTGTGACTTCCCTCACCAAGAGCTCTGAGCTGCAGCACTATGCAGATGGTCCCTGCTGAGAACCTTAGCCAGATGAACTGTGGGGTGGTTGACTGGGCTGTGTGTGTCATTAACTGACACTTGTTGTCACTGAGTTTTCTTTTTATTTATTTACTTATTTTTTACTCTCGACTTCCTTCCATTCCACCTCTGTGTGCAACTGTTGGAGTAACAGTGGTCACCGTTCTGCTTGCTGTTGTCACACAGGCTGCTTATATTTCTTTCAATCATGTGTTATTGGGGCAGTTTGTGACAGAAATTTCTCCTGGTTTTCTGGATACGCTTCTATATTGTTCTGGTGCAGCTAGAATTATTTCCTCCACTAGTTAGGTCATATTGAAGATGGATTGGGAGGAAGGACAGTTATGTGTGGCTCCTCTGCCCTTCTTTTTTTCACCTTGTATTCATTTGAACATCTGGCAGTGGGAATACAGCATTAAACAACAGTCTTTAATTCTGGCCGCCACTGGAACATTCCTTAGCTTAGTTCTGGTTTTCCTAAATCAGAGGCCGACCTGTTTATACTTTCTTTCATTTTCACATACCCCTTTGAAAGATGTCAACTTTTTTTTTTTTGGTTGCCTCTTTTTTTTATTACAAAAGTTTATTTTTACATCATTTTGCACATTTTTTTTCCATCTCAATTGTAATCCCCGCTGGTTTCCCATCACCAAATCACCTGTGTGCCACCACCATAGTCCCATGCACTTCCCTCCCTTCCCCCCCCCCCCGTTTTTGATACCATTCCCCACTCCACCCCCACAAAATGTCTCTGGTATATGGTTGTTCATTATTTTTGTTGTTTTCTCGCCTGGTCTATTATACTCCTGCTATGAGTGAAACCATCCGGTATTTTTCTTTCTCTTTCTGGCTTATGTCACTAAGCATGATCTTTTCCAGCGCCATCCAAGTTGCTGCAAAAGACATGTGTTTCTCTTTTTTGGTTGCTGAGTAATATTCCATTGTATATATGTACCACATCTTTTTTATCCAGTCATCTACTTTTGGGCATTTGGGCTGCTTCCATGTTTTTCCAATTGTAAATAAAGCAGCAATAAAAAAGATATCAACTTTTTAAAGAATGTGTGTGTTACAGTTCAACAATGTATGGATAGCTTGGTATATTCTTTATATAGATTTAGCACTTGTACGCACGCCAGAAGTAACATGTGGATATTTTGCTTCTTAGCCGATTACACCTCAATAAGAAGGCAACAGACAAACAGCCATACAGCAAGCTCCCAGGGGTGTCTCTTCTGAAACCACTGAAAGGAGTAGATCCGAATCTCATCAACAACTTGGAAACATTCTTTGAACTGGATTATCCCAAAGTAAGTACAGTGGTTTACTCATTGGAAATGGGCTAGGTCTGATATCCCCAACCCTGCCTTTGTCTTCATGACACATATAAATCGTGATATATATATCCAGTGAAGGCATTACATGTTGGTGGTGATGTCAGCCTCATAAAATTGTGCTACAATGGTACTAGTCCCAGGCAGAAGTGACCTTGAAAAGAGAGGGGTCAGTTCCTTTTTTGTATGCCTATCAGAACTGACATCCTTGTGTAAACTCCCTGGCATTAGGCATGGATAGGGGGCTGGCAGTTTGACTGTAGAAATCTTGGACCCTGAGAATCCTGTGTGGAGAACAGGTAGAAGGGACAATGCCCAGCAGTCGGCAGTGGCTACTGGGCAGCTCTGTGACAAGGTGAGTCCCCTGGGGAGCTGACTTTGGAGCCAAATTGTCATTAGTTGGTTCTTTTCCTGTGAAGAACTTAGGAAGGCCCTTTAAACTTATCATAATGGAACTTGATATGTAATTTGTAGAACTTAGATTGAGTTCTAAGTAATATTGAGTTTCGAGACAAAACCTGGTTTTTCTATATTACTGTTACCATGCTAGGGACCCGGTAAGCATTGAGCAAAACTTCGGTGATGAAAGCCATAGAAAAACTTGAGATCCTGGTACATATCTAGGTCATGTATGTCTCAGTAGAAGAGTGGGCTCTGTCAGTCTCTTCATTATGCCTCCAGACAGGCCCCTGTTCTGGAGAAGCAGCTCTCAGTTCAAGCACTTGCAATCTTAAGTGTCTCCATCCATTATGGGTCCATTATCCTCTTAACTTTTAAACTTTGTATGTATAATTGCTTGTTTTTCTTAAAGCTTTTTGATCTATCAATAAATGCTAATGAGTGATAATTTTTTTTTAAAGAGGTTAATTTACCTAAAATGTTTTCTCTGGCTAGTATGAAGTTCTCCTTTGTGTACAAGATCATGATGATCCAGCCATTGATGTATGCAAGAAGCTTCTTGGAAAATATCCAAATGTTGATGCTAGATTATTTATAGGTAAGTAACAAATAAATTCTACAGTAATAACCATTTTGTGTGAGAATTAGTAAGTATCAGTAATCTTCTTTGCATTACTCTCTATGTTATAGTATTAACCATCTGCTGAAGTTACTCGCATATCTGCTTTGCGCATATTTATTGGAGTGATGGAAGGTGTTTATAGTTTATTTTTATTATTTTTTTAACTTAAGTTATAGAAACAAAGGATTTTTTTTCAAATTTAGGGTAAACATGGTAACAACAATTTACCCAATTAGTAGTCAGACATGAGAGTCCATTATTCTTGGTTTGTTAATATTTTTAGTGAGTGGCCTTTTCTTCATTTCATCCACAATAAAAGAATGAGCAATAGTATCACTTTTATAAATTTCCAATGTGATTGTAGTTGCTTTTTGGAGATGAACTTTTTTTCTGAATATATCATTATAACTAATAAAAAATATAAAAAGTAATATTAAAGTATGTTCATTTATTGTACCTATGCAAATACTTTTTATTTCTTTCTCATGTATCTTTTATAGAAAATATTTTTAATATTACAATGAATTTTTCATTGCTCTTCTTTTAAATTTTTAGGTGGCAAAAAGGTTGGCATTAATCCCAAAATTAATAATTTAATGCCAGGATATGAAGTTGCAAAGTATGATCTTATATGGATTTGTGATAGTGGAATAAGAGGTGAGGTTTTTCTTAAATATTTTATGTTTAAAATATGTTTATGTTGTATGTATAAAATGTTTTCATTCTGAAAATTTCAACTGTTAAAAATAGTTATTATCCATCATATAGTCTCTGCGCTTTATCATATGTGCAATTTTTCCCTTGTTTATATGATACTTGTGCACGCATAAGCCACTGTCTCACACAAAGGGACAGAGATGAATAGGTACATATTTTACTAGACTACATGCATTTATTGGAATACATGTGACTTTTAAGAGGATTTTAACAGGAAGACTTTTATATACTTAAATTATAATTTGCATATTTAAACATTTCCATGTTCTATAATAATTCTGCTATTTGGATTACCTCAACTTTCTGAACCACACACTTTGAGATCTGGGGCTGGATAATTCTTCCTGTGGAGGCTAACCAATTGTGCTAACCCACAGATGTCTCCACACATTACCAAAGGTAACATGCAGCATTATTGCCCCAGGATATAAATTTTTATGGCCCAAACACACTTTTAGGCAGTAGATTTAGTTCTTAGAGACTTGGAAGAAATAAAAATGAAGTAATGTAAAATGATATAAAATGTTTCCTATTTAAAAGTGGAAAATGATTTAATTAGTTTTAAATGTACACTTAATTAGCAAAGTGTGGCTCACATAATTCATTGAGATCCTTTTAGCTCTATCACCTGATGATCAAAAATTATGTTCATTCTTAAATTGTTTACTGTCCATTGGCTAAGCTTTCAATACCCAAATCTCTGTCAGGTGTCATCTCACTTGACTTCCCCTAGCAGTTCTCTGATACAGAATATATCATAACCTCTGAGAAAATAGAGGCCCATTTCTGTGATTGGAGAACTGAGGCCTCCTGACTTCTGTTTCTGTGACTTTTACCTTTTCCACGAGCATGCATTGTCTATTACTCTAGAAAGTTTAGAGGATCAGATATGGAGTAACATTTTCAAACTATATCCTCTGGCACATATTATTTAAATACCAGCCTAAAAATGTAGAGTATACTAACTCATTATAAATTGTGCCTTGAGATTCATGTTATTAGTTCCAAATGTAACTTTTTTTTAACATTTTTTTTTTTAATGTATACAAGAACTGGGGTATAAGCCAGAGCAGCGAGGGGTGAGAGGATTCACCAGAGACAGAGTGAGGAGCAGAACAGGCAGATCTATTGAAATACACTGCTGAGGGGAGCAGCGGGTGGGTCAGGAGAGGTCTGCCGGGCCATGTGAGCTCCTGACCAAGGATCAGACTTATGCTCGAGAACAAACTCTTGCTGTAGTGGCTGGTGATGGCTTGGTAGTGCTGTGCCTTTAACCGGGAAGGCCCTCAAGTGTAAATTTTTTTTTAAATTATTCCTAGTTAAAAAAAATATTCCTAGTAAGAATTTAATACCAACCCAATCTATTTTATATTGGTGAACATTACACCAAAAATGCTGTTTTCTTACTAGCTTTTAACCTATATTTTTCTGTTTTATTACAGTAATTCCAGATACACTCACCGACATGGTTAACCAAATGACAGAGAAAGTAGGCTTAGTTCATGGACTGCCATATGTAGCAGACAGACAGGGCTTTGCAGCCACATTAGAGCAGGTAAGTCTGGTGGTCATACATAATCTTGTTTTCAGAGCCCTAACCTCCCAGAAGCTTGAGACTGTTCTAAGCCTAAGGTTTGAGGCGAGCACTCTGAAATTCACGTATATGTCCATTTTAACTTTCTGAGTACTGCAGTCAGCAAGTTGAGAGTCATTGTTTTCATTTGTGAGAGAATTCTGCAGCCCTAGAATCACTCCCAGCCATGCTTGCTGCAATGATCCACAGCATGAAAATAGTCTCATTACCTGTGGAACATACTGTTAGGTTTGTTTTTCTCTGGCCCTTGCCTTCATTTCCAGAGCTCAACTTTTAACTGTTGACTTTAGTAAAAGTTCATGTGTAGTGGTATCAAAAATCCATTCGGAAAAGAACTCTTAAAATATTGTGGAGTTTTTCAAATACACAAAAAAGAAAAATGTACATTCAAGTCACTAGATAATCCATTTGATTTTCTTGTAAAACAGATCTCTAGTAACCCTCAGAAACTTACATTTTCCATCTTTTCTTCAACTTACACCTGAACTATAAACTACGTGTGGAAAATTGTAAGTTATCAGAAAATATAAGATAAAAAACACCCATAATCCCACGAACAAGAGGAATTCTGTTTTTATGTGGAGGTATGAAGGTGTACTCCCAAAATTATATACTTAACCAACTGACAAATAATTTTTAAAAATTTAAGTATTTTGGTTTTTATATTTAGTGTTTTTATACTTTTGGATACTTTTTTTGAGGTAATATTCTAAAACAGTGTGAATCTCACTTTGATCACTTTATAAACTTTTTCTCACATCATTAATAATTTTTTTTAAGATTTATTTATTTATGCACACAGAACTGGGGTAAAGTATACTGGGGTATTGTGTGTGTGTGTGTGTGTGTGTGTGTGTGTGTGTGTAGTGTATTGTATTGTATATTTAGGCTGAAAACTTGTCTTAAAGCTGTAAGGGAAGGTTGTATGATTTCAGACCTAATACATTAATTTGCTTCTAGCATATCTGCACTTATATTCTTTTGAACTGCAATCTTATGGCCGACAGTTTTTTATTTCAGTTAAAAGCTGAAGGGGGTAAAGGTACATTGTTGAAACTTGCTTTTTTGCCCATGGATCTAGTCATCTCAGATACCAGAGTTTTTGCTTAGTAAAAGAAACAGGGTATTTATTTTAAAATAAAATACTTCCTAGTTTATATGCCACATTGTGTTTTTGTCTTAGGGAGATCCAAGTTTATCAGTCAATGATAAACATCTCCCAGATGTTCAGATTTAATTTCTAGAGGTCACTCTGGCATACTTATGAATAAATGGAAATAGGCCAAAGCAATTATTTCAGTCTGCAAAGAAATTCCAGAGTCCTTCCATTGAGTCTTGAGACCCACCTTATTCTCAGTTCTCACTTCATAATTGCTTAAGGAATTAGGATGTATGCTTCTGATGTTATTAGAAGTTTGGTACATTTGAGCCCCACAAACACAGGGCTTCCTCGGAGTTCCACAGTGTATCTGTATAGCTCCTGCCATTGAGAACAATCACTGCTCACTATTTCAGTTGGAAATGCAGCATTTCTAGGACTTAAATAATGAATAGGGTGTGACTAGTAAGTTGGGTAATGACTATCTTTTTCTACCACTAATATTGCAACTCATATCTCCTGACTTCAAAGCATATCTAGAAAATATCAGTAAACTGGGAGGCCAAAGTTTAGTATCTGCTCTATTTATGAAAAATACTCTGAAAAATGAAATGGAGAAATTGTGATGATCAGCAGCTGAGGGACAGAAAGATGCTAGCTGGGAAGGGACAGAAGGGTTGTCTTGTAGGTTGAAACACCTATAGATAGTGTGTGTGTGTGTGTGTGTGTGTGGTGTGTGGTGTGTGGTGTGTGTGATATTTGAGAATAGAATCTGCTTTTCCCTCCTAGAAGTAAATGTTTTTTGTAATGGTGATAATAATAAGAGGGGCCAGTCGGATAAATTATGGACCATCCACTATACATCAACACAATTATGCACTGCTTTTCATTCAGGTAGTTTATGTGAGAACAGTAGCATATTCACTCAATCATACTTCAGGGAAATTCACTAGGAAAAAGAGTCACATTTAGCATAAAGTTCTAATTGTACATTTTTTTTATTTGGGCAGGTGTATTTTGGAACTTCCCATCCAAGATCCTATATCTCTGCCAATGTGACTGGTTTCAAGTGTGTGACAGGAATGTCTTGTTTAATGAGAAAGGATGTGTTAGATCAAGCGGGAGGGCTTATTGCCTTTGCTCAGTACATTGCTGAAGATTACTTTATGGCCAAAGCAATAGCTGACCGGTAAGTAAATAAAATTGCATTATTATGTTTTTAAGATGTAGCTGCTGTTGGTTTATTCTGTTTGCTGAGTGCATGGTTAAGGACTGTTTTATTTCTGGCTAATTAGTACAGAATAAGTTAATATTTTTAGAAAGGTGATTCTTGTTACTCAGATTGGTACTAATAAAGCAAATAAATGTTCTGATTTTTCTACATTATTCAAATTAATGTACTTTGGACTGACTAAAAGGAAACTTCTCTGTGAGTGTAAAATTTCATTATGAATATAAATTTCTGTATATGTCACAAGATTTTAAAATATCAGTACAGTCATAAGCCAGAAAGTAAAAATCTAGAGTATGCTTCCAAATTTTGGAATCTCTCAGATATTTTTGGTGCTCTTTTGGGAAACCACTCAGTGATTCATATGGTTGTCTTAACATCTCTCTATCCCAAAATGATACTTGTTTACTTTGTAAAGGGAAATGTTGCCTTGTATGGTAATAAACTAAAGATGCGATTTTAAAAATTAAAGTGGGTTTTCCAAATTCACTCATGATGGCATTCCTGTGGTTCATGGTTTCATACTGTCTCCCATAAGCCAGATCCATAATGCCTCTTTGTGTTTGTGCTTCTTGTATGTGGACATATTTCTGTCTGCTCACAGAGGTGAATAGTAACAAAGATTAAACTATTAAATATAGAACCCTGTCTGCTTCGTACTCCCAGCATGCCTGTGTTTTGTTAACTTTGAGCTCGGGGCTTGTAGTTCCGCTAGCTCGAGTCTGGGCTGCTGGGATAGCTAACACATCTGGAAAGGATAGGAAACTGTAAGGAGGGTGCCAACCTGCAGACTCGACTTGCCCTGAACCACAGGCGATGGCTTGATCTTCACAGTGATGAGTAAATACATAACCAGTCAGACTTGCGTGTGTTACAGCTCATTTTATAATTGTCTTAATTCTCAGAGGCTGGAGGTTTGCGATGTCTACTCAAGTTGCAATGCAAAACTCTGGCTCATACTCAATTTCTCAGTTTCAGTCCAGAATGATCAGGTAAGTCAACTGACATTCTTCTTTTGATTCTGTGTTAAAAGGTTGAGGGGGAGGGATAGGAATGTTTACGTGGTCTTGCTTGGTTAAAGAAAAATCTAAAGGTCAGTTTTTGTTTAGTTACAGAAAAGAGTTTAGCTACTGTATTAAAATTAACTTATAAATATGTTTTCTTTGGCATGTAACATTAAGAAAACAAAGGGTCAGCCAAAACTAAACTAAATCATAGACCTTTGAAATCTGACTACAGAATTGAGGCTACTGGAGGGGGCAATGGAGAGTAGATGCCAAGGGGCCCGCTGGACCAAGGTGGACAACGAAGGGTACCTTGGTACCTTGGTGTGGTGGGTGTGGTGCGGCATCATACACCTGAAGAGGGGTGATCCTGTACCTCTGAATCATGTACATTGTTGTGAACCAGTGTTCCTGCCCCCATAAAAGGTCATTAAAAATTTAAATATGTGGGAACTTTGAATTTTTTGTATACCAGACTATTTTTTAATTATTTTGAGGTGACATTGGTTCACGTCACTATCTATGATTCAGAGAAGTAGGTTCTCAACTCCTCAGATGTTATATGCCAGTCTTCATTTTCTGTCCTTCTAAACTTTGGATTTTAAAATCTTTATTCCTCAAGGTATATTCCCTATAAATGAATTTATAGAGTTTCCTTTGATAGGCTAAATAAAAATTTTTAAAAGGTTTCATTAAATATTCCTTAAAGAGCAGAGCTTTTAACAGCCAAATGCCGATAATTTGGGGGGGGGGAATTAACTAGACTTGACCAAGCTCTTATTGAAAACTTTTTTTTTTAGATGGACCAAATTGCGAATCAATATGCTTCCTGCTACAATAATTTGTGAGCCAATTTCAGAATGCTTTGTCGCCAGTTTAATTATCGGATGGGCAGCGCACCATGTATTCAGATGGGATATTATGGTATTTTTCATGTGTCATTGCCTGGCATGGTTTATCTTTGACTACATTCAACTCAGGGGTGTCCAGGTATGTGAATAAAGGTTGAAAGTCACTTGGTAGAACTGAAACATATTTTAACTGAGGAAAGTTAGAAGAAAATCTGTCTGAGCCATTTTCAGCTTTCCACGGAAGGTTACCATGAGGTGCAAACATTAATTTCCTAGCAGAATGTCGATCCAAAACTCAACCTGATTTTCAACTTTAAGTTGGTGATGCAGTCACTTTTATCAAGGCTCAGAAAAAAAATGTTCTCAAGCAAACCTAGTATCCAAACTTGTGATAGGATAGCAGTCATTTTAATGCTGCTTCTACTCATAACTAACATTTTCTTAACCAGTGTGGCCAGGCAGTTTAGTTTACTAAAGAAACAGGTTTGATTTTATAGGGTATATTAAAGAAGAGTGAAGTTGGAGAATTTTTAACTTGTCCCCTTGTCTGGCAGTCAAATCTTCTTTGTTTTTAATTCCTAGGGTGGCACACTGTGTTTTTCAAAACTTGACTATGCCGTAGCGTGGTTCATCCGTGAGTCCATGACAATATACATTTTTTTGTCGGCACTATGGGACCCTACGATAAGCTGGAGAACTGGTCGCTACAGATTACGCTGTGGAGGTACAGCAGAGGAAATCCTAGACGTCTAACTACAGCTTTGTGACTGTCCATAAAGAAAAAAAAAAGTATTATAAATTATGTTTATATAAATGCTTTTAAAGATCTACCTTCAGTAGTTTTATCACATGTATGTTTTGGTATCTGTTCTTTAATTTATTTTGCACGGCACTTGCATCTGTGAAAAAAAAAAAAAAACACACATCTGTAGTCTTGGCCAAATAGTACACTTTATTTTGTGGAAGTAGAGAAACAAGAGACTCGGTTCTACGAACCTGGGTTTGTTTTTTGTTGTTGTTTATTTTTTAGAAAATAAATAGAGAGAGATATCAGTGCTCTGCAACAAACACTGACAGTATCCTTCAGTAGAGAAAGTTTCTTCTTTGTGAGTACGCTCTTTTGGATCACTTACGGGATGGCAGTGGCTTTGCTTTGGGGTTTTGAAAAAACTGGGAGGGAGTGACTTCTGTCTAAAGGGAAGGGGATCCTACAGCCAGTGGCCCACACTGGAGGTACTAACTGGGAAACTTTTTCACGCTCCATGCCTACCTCTTGTAGTTGCAGAGACAAGTACACATTGTGATAAGGTAGCTAGGCCTTGCAAAAACAAATGGAAAAACTTTAAACGTAATAATAATACTAAAAGAGCTGGAGTCTAGTATTTATATGAATCTGTGAGAGATGTTTTTTGGTCTCACTGAAATGAACCAAAAGTGGTTGAGTTTGGTTTTTAAAAGTAACCACGTCCTGACGGCATCTTATGGCCAACTCACGTTGGTTCTGTCTTGAACCATTGTTAATCACTGTGCTGGTAAACCTTTCCTTCCCTCCTCCTCACCTGACCCACCCCATCTTCCTTAACCCTTTTTGTGGGGGGTGGGAGTAGTTTTGTTTTAGTGTGAGTGGATGTTTTGATAGCTGTGAGGAAAAATGCATTTCAGACACATTTCACACATGAGCTATTTTCTTACACAGTATGTCTTATTGTTAAAAAAAAAAAGAATGTAATTTCATGATACAGGTATTTAATATCTTTTTTAAGTAAGTAAATATTCTAGCCATCAATAAATAAGTTACAGTAGAGTATTAAGAGGGGACAAGATAAGTTTTACTCTTAAAATTGATCGGTATCAAACTAAGTCTACTGTGTGTGTGTTTTTTTTTTCCCCCAATTTTGTTTTTACTATTACGGTTAGTCTAGTCTTATTTAAATTGGATTTTTGTATTCCAGTTTGTACTACAAGATAGACTAGATCAGTGCTGGCTGTAAATGCATGCTGATTTCACTCTTCTCTCCCCGTCATGCTGCTGAGCTGCTTGCCAGGTTGTGCTTACCTTGTGGTGAACTGGACTTGTTTTGTTTTTAAGAGGCAAAAATGTAAGGGACAGTGCATAGGCCTTTCATTTTCCTTGTAGTGGAGCTTTTCCTCAGAATCGCTGGCTGGCCGTCTGTGGGACGCCTGCCACGGGGCTGACGCTGGCAGAATGGCAGCTTTAGCATCTGAGTTCTACAGTTTCCATGTCAGAGCATAACGTGTAGCATATTAGCAATAATACTGTATTTATAAAAAAGGATACTTTTTCACTCACTGAGCCAATTCATTTAATTGTCTGACAACTATATTCTTGGTTTAAATCGCAATAGATCGATAAATGTGTATATACTCCCTATACACATTGTCTATAAGCCTCTCCCTGGGCCAAACTGCTTTTCTTCTTTTTTTTTTCCTTTTTGCCTTATGATGAATTTGTTTGAAGGGCATTCTTCTTGAACAAAGGCTTGGATGCAGATTTCTGTCTATGTGAAATGGGTAATGTTTCCTGAGGAAAGTTGCACAGTGAAAACCAGTCTAGTTGTGACCCACGATGTTTATATTTTCAATCATGATTATACAAATTCAATTTCGCTGATCATGTTTGTCATATGTTGGTTTGTTTAATGAAGTTTGGTTGACGCCATCCTATGCACTGCTGATGTGAAGCCGTGCGTATTAGCCGTTTGCTGATCTCAGTGTGGGTAGTATAACGACGAAACCAAAATGGCTGGACAGACTTCTTGTGTCTTGTAAATATAAAGAAGTGACTGTTCTGTATGTGTGTTTTATGTGGTAGTGTGAAGTGTTTCCTTCAAATGAAGCTTCACGTAAGCAGAGCGAGTCATTGTTTAGCAAGTTTAGAACGATGATAAAATGGTAAGAAATAATATAAAAACGGAAGGTCTCACAACAGAACTGTAGGAGTCCAAATTTAATTAACTGTCTGTTTAAAAAACCAATGAGTACCTAGAGTATACCATGTTTTTATTATTTAAAATCATTGTCTTTTAAGTTTTTGTTCAAAAAAATAAAACTTTGAATACAATAAAAACATCAGCAATAATGTGTTTTTGTTGACACTCTTTCCTTTCATATTTTGGTAAACAATTAACATGTTCCATCTGTCCTATTGGAATTAATAGAAGAATTCTGTCGCTGTAATGCTTGAAGTCTAGGCAGAGTTAGGACTTAAAGTTGGACTTCACTATGTTGGCTGCACCCTAGAGTCACTTGGACAACTTTTTAAAAATACCACTGCCTGGACCTCCCCACAAGATTAAGTATTTTGGTGTGAGGTTTGACCTTGATGCAGGGGTGGGGGCTCCCTGGTGGCACAGGGGTTAAAGTCTCAGCATTAGTCACAATGGCTTGAATTTGATCCCCGCCCTGGAGGTGACCCACATGGAGCAGCAGACCTCTCCTGTGTCACCTGCTGCTCTCCTCAGCAGTGTATCTCAGTAGATCTGCCTGTTCTGCTCCCCACTCTGTCTTTGGTGAATCTTCTCACTTTCCCCCATAACTCTGGCCCACACCCCATTCATGTTTGCAAAAGAAAAGAAAAAATGAAGTGGGCCCTCTGTCCTCCAGTCCTGGCTCACAACCCAAACTCAACCTTCTAGATCTTAACCGCTGGCTAGGAAAGGCAGGCCCAAAGTAAGGAGTAGAGGGCTTTTTTTTTTTGCTGGAGAATGCACCCCACATGCTAGGTTCCCAGGCCTGTTTATTACCAGGCCATGACAGCAGGGTCCTCCTAACCAGGGAAAAAAATTACAGGGGTACAAGAACCAGAGAGGCTAGCTGTAGCCCCCACTCCTAGCACCCACCCTGTACACAAGCTCATTCCCCCTAGCTTACCAAGTACCCTTCTAACCCTAATGTTTAAGAAATGACCAACGAACGGTCAACTCCTGTGAATGGGGTGATCCCCAGGGTCAGGTGGACAGTTGTGGCTGAGCCAGGGTTCCCTGTGTGTGTCTGGCCAGACTGCTGTTATCTGTCTTGTTTAAACTTCTCCCTATAACACATTTACAACTTGTTAAAAACACTAAAATGAAAAAAAAACCAAAAAACATAGTTTTAGTAACCTTCTATATAGCCAACTCAAAAGTTGTTCTAGAGCACCAGACCCACACCTGCAGAACAAGCACAAAAATTAAAAAGCTATTTAAAGTACAGTGCTTTCAAAGCTTTGGAGAGAAGATTAAAGCCTACCACAGGATGGAGTCCATGTGGAAGGAAATAGTTCAGACTTCCTGCTAATGTTTGTTAGGTTATAGTATTTGAATTGCGTATTCATTTCAGCTTCAAGTTTATGGCTACATGAACTTCATTTTGTTGGAAAGAAAACACTGCACAGTGGTAAGCAGAGCAGTGATAAGCATTTAGTTGAGTGAATTGAAATATTTACATCTGCAAGATAGTTTAAAATCACTTTGTCAACACTGTGCATAAACCAAAAAAAGGAAAAAGAAAGCATTTTAATAGTTTCTTAAGCCAAGTAGTTGTCTGAGAACCAAAATAGGCCAAGCTCTTTGCATCTTGGGTGAGACTGGCAGAGACTGAGTCTTCATGGAGCAGTTTAGAGTGGCTGTGGTATTTAGACTATTAGTCATCAGGACATCTGTGTTAACAGCATGGACTTGTAATTAGCTAAACAATTTGAGGATGTTTCTATCCAGGACTGGAGGGAATCTAGACCACCCTCGCCTGTGGACTCCACACCTGCCCATGCCACCGTGTTTCTACTTTGCTTCCTTATCTTTGTCATCAGCCTTAGCACTTCTGATTTCCATCACCAAGCCAGCCAAGGAAGCATAGACAGGATGCTGGAGAAGTTTAGAAGCTACTGATGCAGTTTGGAAACATAGGAAAGAACTACATTCCGGAGCAGGGGCTTGGGTGTCATTTCCATTGGTGTGACAGTTGAAGACAGTGGATGTGATAAAGATGGAAAGTGAGTGAATAGGGCTAAGGGCAGAATCTCAGGGGACCCTACTTAGAGGATACAGCATCCAGGAGCACACTCTGCCAAATAGGGGGTTCAGATGGAGGCCTTTGAATGGGCTCTGGGCAGCTCCTTTCATCTTCCTGCAGCTGTTTGGAACCGCGTACCCTGGGGATGGAGTGGAGTGGGTGAGGGGGGCGTCAAAAGCATAGAGATGGCTAGTGAGCTTCTTTCAAATAAGGGGTAGTGAAAGGAGTGTCACTGTGATGTAGAAATTTCAAGAAGGAACTGGTTGAGAGAGGGGTTCGCTGCCAGTTCCCTGCAGTGCCTCTCGGTGTAGGCTCGGCCCCTGGGTGTTGTCTGGCATCACCATGAGTGAGGCCTCACCATGCAAAGACCATGACTTTTTACACATGTTGCCTTACTGTACACTGCTCAGCGGAAAGAGAAAAGGGTGGGACTTTCAGATAGAGCCAGAAGTTGCCCCTGAGCCTGAGGGTGTGGCCGTCGGACTCTAGTGCCAGGAGTAATGTTTTAAGAAAGGTGGCTTCTAGAAAGCCAATTTATAGAGCAAAAAGAACAGAAATCACATTATTTGGGTTAAAGAGCCTGTGAAGAAACACAAGCGTTGGGCCAAGCTACTGGGAAACTGCAGCAGTGGCACATTTTCTACCAAGGGCCCAGTAGTCCGAGACTGAAGAAGGATGATGAATTAAAGATACAAGCCAGAAATATGATGGAGGGTAAGTTTGCTTTCTAGCTGCAGTCAGTCCCAGGAATTAGGGAGTTCTGGTCTCCCCCGCCCTAGCCACAGCCTGCCCCTTTTTACTTTGCCTATTTATTTGCTTC